ATAGTTTGTGATATTTTATTTTCTCTTTTGTTTCTTTTTTATAGAGAGCAATCTTTACTTGCTGAAGGAGCCCCTGCAGACTTAAATGGTGATGCATTAATTTGGTTACTTCAGCGTCACGCAAAATGAAAGCAATCACCCTACTCTCCCTCTGTTCCATCCAAATATAACTGTTAAGTTGTGGAATTAGCAAACAGAAGTAATTGGATTAAGGAATGTAAAGAATGCACTATTTCGTTTACTATACTTCAGTATCTGTGTTTTTAAAGAACTCAAATGAAATTCTAAAATTAAATGTCCTTTTAAACTCATCTTTTTGCCTCTCCACTCAATTTTATTTGCTGGGTTAAAAAAAAAAGCACTTCTGTGCTAAGGACAATAAAGTAGAGATAATGTGCAAATTTCCTTCTTTCAGGGGATGTGAATGGATGAAGATATGTTTCTAATTTTTGGAATAAATGTGTTTCTTTTCCAAGACTCTCAGTAGTTACAAACCTTGCAACTTTGCTTAGAGAAGATATTCAGGGCAAAAATATTTCTATGAGATTCACGGAAGAGAAAATGATGAATCATCTCAATTCTAATGTGGAAATGATTTTTCTCTAGCTTTCCTTGCACTGCGAAGAGAGCTCTCCCCCGGCTGCTCACTGTATTTTATCTTGGGTTTAAAAGAATAGAAAGGATGCTGCTATTTATTCCTCAAAATAGTACTTTTGCATCCACACCTCCCTCTCTCCCTCACAGAATTTCAGCCTGGCCTGAAATGAAGGTCAAATCAAGAACCAAAGTTACTTCAGTTCTAAGGTGGATAATCACATCAGTTATTTCAGCAATGAAGAAGTTCTGCGTGAAATCGTGCGCTTGTACCTTGTCCTGGAGAGGAAACCTGGTAGTTGTTGTCAGGTGTTTGGGAGATGTTTTATTGCTGTCTTGAGAGAATTCATATCTTCAGATCTTGCTGTCTTAAAATCTTTAGCTAATGAATAAAAATGTAATGATGTTAAATCACTTAACACTAACAAAACAAAAAAAGAAGACTCCCCACAGAAGATACAGGGAGTTATTTGATGTAGATCCTGACAACTAGGTAAAAATCTAAAGTCCGTGACTGGAACGTGGGCCACATGGAGCTATTGACCCTGGTTTCCTTGTTTTCATGTAGACGAGTTCACCCAGGCTACCAGAACAATCAAATCCTGGGCAGGCTTAATTAAATTAGTATTTGAAGACATTTATTAAACATCTACTCTGCCCAAGAAGTACAGTGGTTCCCCTTATCCGTGGGGCATATGTTCCAAGACCCCCAGTGGATGCCTGGAACCACAGATGGTACCAACTCCTATATATTCTGTTTTTTCCTATGCATACATACCTATGATACAGTTTAACTTCTAAATTAGGGTCAGTAAGAGGATATCTGAATTGCCAGCATCACTATTCTCGCTCTTTGGGGTCATCATGAAGTAAAATAAGGCTTACTTGAACACAAGTGCCACACTCTGATAACCCAGATGGTTGCTAAGCAACTAGTGGGCAGGATGCTCTGGACAAAGGGATGGTTTACATCCAGGTAGGATGGAGCAGGATGGTGGGAGGTCACATCATGCTGCTCACAGAGCGTATGAATTGTTTATCTCTGGAATTTTCCACTTAGTGTTTCTGGACCACAGTTGACTGCAAGTAACAGAAACTTCAGCAAGTGAAGCCGCAGAGAAGGGGGTCGATTGTACTTCTCATTATATGAGAAACGCTATGCAGCCTTCTTGCTGTGACCTACAAGGACTGAGATGTATGCTGCCTGCCAAATTTTATCTCTGAATCTTTCAGTTGCTCTGTTGCAGTCACGTGATCTCTGTCCTTAAATACAGACCAAGTCTTTTCCCACTTCAGAATATTCCTACTTGCTGCTTCTTTGCCTGGAACCCCCTCTTCCCAGTCTTCACGTGGTTGACTTATCATTTAGATTCAGCTTAAAACAACTTTCCAGAGTGCTCTTCCCTGGCCAAGGGAACAGGACTCCCCTCTCCCCTCTGCAGTCATTCTTTATTCCTTTCTTCTGTTTCATTTTCTTCTTGTGAGTTGTAACTATTTAAAATAGTCTAGTTTATTTCCTTATTTGTACATTGTTTGTTTCCAAAGTAAGATGAAAGGTCCAAAAAAGGATGGATCTTATGTGTCCCATTCACTAGGCATCTAGGACTATGTCTCCCTCGGAGTCTCCCTCCCTCTCAAAGAAACATGAAAAGATACGATTGAGCACTTATAAATCTAGAACAAGAGATAAACATACATTTATTCTACAAAGTGGAAAGGTGAACGTCGTGCAACAGAATAAAAATGTCAATGGGGATTCCTGTGAGGAAGTAATTTCCAACTGTGGCATCAGCGTCTTCACCAAAAACGGGCAGATTTAAACTGTGCCATGAAATGGATATATTTTTACATACAGATAGGAGGGAAGGCAGGTCTAAGTCTTTTCAGATAAGCTACAGTAGGAGAGAAACCAAGATTAGAGGAAACAAGTGAGCCCATTCAGGGAAGAGAAGATACCTGAGTTGTGCGTTGAGTAGGTGACTTCACATGGAAGCAGAAATGTCTTACATCTGGGTTCTGACATTCCACATCTGGGTTACTATTATGGGCTGAATTGTTTCCCCCCAAGTTCATATGTTGAAGCCCTTAACCCCCAGTACCTCAGGATGTGACTGCATGTGGAGACAGAGCCTTTAAAGAGGCAATCAAGTTCAAATGGAATCATTGGAGTGGACTCTAATCCAGTATGTTTGGTGTCCTTGTAAAAAGAGATTAGAACACAGAGAGGCACCAGACATGTCCAGAGCAGAAGAAAGACTGTGTGGGGACCCAGCAAGGAGGCATGATCTGTAAGCCAAGGGGAGAGGCCTCAGGAGAAACCAAACCTGCTGGTAGACACCTTGATCTGGGACTTCCAGCCTCTAGAACTGTGAGAAGATAAATGTCGGTTATTTAAGTCACCCAGTTGTTGGTATTTGAATATGGAAGCCCTAGCAAACTAATAACATTACCTTGAGAATTTTAACCTTTTTGTGTTATGTTGTCTGCAAAATGATAACACCACGGAGTTAGTAAAAGAATCAAATGAGATATAAGTCATTAAAGTTCTTTTTAAAATAGAAAAAATTAAGAGCCAGAAGATAGCTTCAAAATAGTCACCGTGGCTAGTGTTAGTTTCTCTTGCTTCTTTCTGTTGATTTCAGTAATACCAAGAACTATGAGTCTGTCTAGTTTAATACACTCGTAACACAGTTGGCAACCCCAAGGCTTTCCCCGGAAGGAAATATCCTATCTGTCCAAGGGAAAGTCTGGAGAAGTCAGAAGGAAAAACACACTCTTTGTTCTGTGCTGTGTTTCTGCTCCAACATCTTCCATAACTGCAGACTCAGGTTTGGCCTGAAATCACAGGATTGCGTCTCTTGCTGTCCCTCTCACCACGCTGTGAGCTCCTTCAGGACTGGGGCTGGAGTCAAGCCTCCAGCATCCGTGCCCTCCATCAGTGGTTGAGTGAGTGTCACTGTAATTTTTTGCATTGCCTTCTCTGACCATTTATTATCACAAGAGCTAGTGTACTGAGGAAGAATTGGAGTCAAACTAATGCCTGAGTTCAGGACTCAAACTTGTCCAGCACTGTGACCTTGTCTATTTGCAGATCTTGTTGGATACCTGGTTTTTTCCCTTGGCAGTTTGAGATGGTAACAGCCACCTCATCATAGGGTTTAAAGGTTAGAATAAATGATACATGTAAGGTACCTACCACAACCCAGGTGATGTTGGGTGTTGTATCTACCACTGCTGTTTTTGGTTTTGTATCTGTCTGTTCATTGTACCAGTGTGGTCTGCTTCTGTGTCAGCTCTGCAAGGGCCAAGTCTATATTGTTTTGTTGTATCTGTACTATACCATGTGAAACCAGCACTCTTCATTGATTAGTTGATCTTTTTATCGAGCAAGATAGTAATAAGGACTACTGAGAGCTCGTTTCTCCTTGTAAATAAATCCGTGGGTAATCAGGAACTCAGAGCCTGTTTGGTAAGAAAGCTTTCCTTGATCAAAGACACTTACCAGATTTATAATGGCAACCAATGCTTCTGCTTTTCTTTGTGGTTCTTTGATTCTTTATATATAATTTGAGTGAACTAAACCAGACAGCCAGATCACAGTGAATTTTGCTTAATTGCATGCAGCCTTTTCACTTATACGTTTTAGTCTGTTGAGACAATCCAGGGTACCTATTTGCTTATTCCTCTAATTAAGCAAATAGCCTAGAATGCTAGTCTCAAATGGTATTCTGTTTCTGCGGCAGTGACCTCTGTCCAACCCCACGGCACATTCAGGCGCCCGCATTGTGCGTGGAAGCTGCGGCACTGTGCGTGCTCCGGGCTGTATTTCTGGACAGTCACGTCGCCCAGGAAGTCAGGCTCATTCATCATCCCCGCCAGGCGCTTGCAGGGCTGCTTGAACAGAAAAATATCCGGAAGCCGGCAGTGATGAAGCCACAGAAGAAAGTCAGGGGGAAGGGGCTGAGAGGAGGCGTGGGGCAGGATGTGCGGAAACAGGAGTGCCTGAATGCCCAGGAGGCAAGGCTCCTGAGTCATCTGATTCTGATGAGATGGCTTCACAGCCACATATCTGGGCCTTCTGGATCCCCACGTATCTCAGGCTTTTTGAAACACAGATTGTTGCAATAACGGTCCCCAGTTCGTTCACATCTCCCCACATCCATGCCCTTGGGTAATCCCTCCCACCCTGACTGAGCTGGACCATAGGATGGCAACAAATAGCACATAAGCAGAGACTTGACAAGTGCTCAGGCTTTGAGGCTTGCCCTCTTACTGCTCTTGGAACCCCGGGACTGTCATGTGCAAAAGCCTGCAATAAGCTACACACGGAGACAGGCCCTGGTCAACCCAGCTGTTCCATCCAAGGCCACTGTAAACTAACCAGTCTCAGCTGTCCCATCAGACACATCAGCCAGATAAGAAGAGTCAAGCCTGGCCTGGATCAGAAGTGCCCAGCTTACCAGCCCAAAGTCCTGACCTGCACGAAGTCTGTGGATGGTTAGTTACACAGCAAAAGATAACTGATAACTGCTCGACTGCTTGACTAATCTGCCCACGTCAGGACTAATTCCAATTCAGTGTTTCATGAGGGTTTTCAAGATGCCGTTTGAAAAATTCTGTTCTAAAATAAGGAAGCAGTTACAAATAGGGCAACCTAGTATATTATCATCATTTGATAAGGGCATTTTCCAGAATAGTCTCTCCCTGTGACTTTCAGAGGTATCTGTGAGGTGAGATGGGGGTGGGGAAAAGACTTAAAATAACAGTGCTAAAAGGAGGTGGCGTCACTCAAGCACAGCGGCATTTTGAAATCAGAGAATCTTGAAACACTACAGCTGAGTGGGTTGCAGATGTGATGCGATGGACACCGTCACTGTTGCAGGAAAATCAACCCTGACCCTCTTGTCTCTCGAATGTAATGTTGAAAGGAACTCCACTTCAAATTCCTGGATCCTTTCTCAAGCTCCTAGTGTTTTAAGTTTGAGCTGCGGTGGTGAGTGTGGATAAAAGCAAGGAAGACATCATATTTGTTATTTACACTTTAGGATTCTTTCATTCAACTCATTCATCTGTTCAGCAAATATTTTGTGAGCCTCTGATCTCTGCCAGGTTCTGTGCTGCTTTGAAAAGGCTGCAGTAACTTCACAGGATGGGCAGAGAAACTAGCTGTTAGTTAGAAAACTGTTCACTGCTGCGGGCAAACAACTTCCCAGTCACCTCAACTTCCTAATTACCTAAAAGAAGGGCGTTGTGCACGTTTTCTGAACGTCCTTCCTAGGGGGAATTGCCGTAGGGAGAAGGAGACCCTGGAAATGGGTCTGGCCGAGGTCTTTTCCTCTGCCTGATAGAGGAAATAATAACCATAGTTTAGCGAGCACTCACTGTGTGGCGTGGTGCCACATGTCCCAACTGGTCACCGAGGTACCCCTGGTCCAGGAAGCCCTGGGAGGGGCACACCCGCCAGGCAGTGCTGCAGGGAAGAGGCCCATGTGGTGTGGAGTGACCTTAGAGAAAGATGACTGATGCCGTGAGCTATGGTTCCCAGGAAGCTGCCCCAGGTGTGTCTTCAGATGTCTAAACAAATTTTCCATTATCCTCTGGGGCAGTCTGACCCTGAAGCCTAATTCAAAACGGCAGCATTTTTGTGCCTTTCAAAGCTTCGTGTGAGAATTACCAGTGTTGTTTTCCTTCCCGCATAACATGACTTCAGAGACTTAGTCATGCTCTCCTAGAAGTGAGAAGGCTTTTCTACTTGTTGTTTGTTGGGGGGGGGATTCATTTTATTAGTGTGTTTCACAATGTATATGTGTTAAATAGTTTCATCTGTACACATCAAAGGGTTCCTATAAAAATAATAAGGGAGCCATGTAGGGCCAGGAGACATCCCTTAAACATCCCTCCTTCTCTTATTTGAGAACAAAAGCCCCAGAAAAGCTTCCCTCCTCTGGTTAATTTTATGTGTCCCACTTGGCTGGGCCACAAGGTGGCCACACATTTGCTCAAACGTTGTTTCGGTGCGTCTGTGAGTGTGTTTCCAGATGAGAGGAAGATTTCATCTGGTAGATGGAGCAGAGCAGGTCACCCTCCCTAATGTGGGCAGCCCTCAGCCCATCACTTGAAGACCTGAATGGGATCAAACGGCTGAGTAAAGGGAGCTCCTCCTGTGTGACTGCTGAGCTGGGACACCGACCTTTTCCTGCCTTTGAACTCGAACTGAAACGTGGGCTCCCTTGGGTCTCGAGCCTGTCAGACTAGAAGACTAGAAGACTAGAACTATGAGAGCCCTGCCATGGCGGTCCGGGGTCTCCAGCTCGCTGACTGCGGGTCCTGGGACTTCTCAGCCTCCATGTAGTCATGTGAGCCAAGTTCTTATAACAAATCTATATGACTATTTAATGCATATATGCATACATAATATAAATACATAGTTTATTTGTAATATATAATGCATAATCATGTGTATATCTGTACACACACACACACATCCTGTTGGTTCTGTTTCTCTGAAGAACTCTGACCAATACGCTCCTTCTCCTCAGAGGACTCTGACTTCTGAGCTCCCTCATCTCCCGGCCTCCTGCAGGTGTTCCGTTGCTCACACTTCTTTCTGCCCACTTCCTCGGACAACACACTTGGAACTTTCCCTTGCAGCCCATCCGGCCCTCATCTGCACGAGGGCACCCATAGCCACACAGCCAGGCCTGCTTCTCTATTTCTTCTGAGATCATGACCTGGCTAGAGCCCAACGTCTTGCTGAGCCCAGGAGGGGAGGTTGCATTGCCCAGCAGTGACTGGAAGGCTACAACAGGATTGAAGCTAAATCCCAGGGAACAGAGGCAGAGCCCAGAGTGAGTGATTCTGGTCCACATGCACTGCTGGGTCTACACCCCAGCAAAGGGAAACAAAAGTGCCCTCTGAACCGTGTACTAATTTCTCTAGAAAAACTCTTCTTTACGATTATTACAAGGGTACATAGTGTTGTATCTTAGCCACATAAGATTCTGAACAGATACAATTAAGATTAATGAAGCTTTAATGTCACATGTGAGCTGTATGTTTGAAGACAGGGCCATGGGATTGACTGAACTTAAATTCTTGTCACCATGAATAGAAGTACTGATATATACTACATTCTGAAATATATATATTTAGCAGTTTACATTTTTATTATGGGTTCCCAAGCTAAAGCATTTCCTAGGAATAAGGGTCATTATGTCCAGTATATCCCCTTCCATGAGATGTCAGCCACCACGAGGAGGGCTTGGCAGTAATTATTCTCTCCCTGATCATCATCTGTATCTGTTATCAATGTCATTTTAGAATAACTTAAGTGGTATAAGCTTAAGCTAAGAAGTCATACTTCCTGGGTTAGAATCCCAGCTCTGTCTCTTAAGGACATGCAACAGTAGACAATGGCTGTACTCAAACTGAGTTTTCACCTGCACAAAATGTGGATGCAGATAAGACCTATGCCATTGTAAGGAGTGAACGAGATAAAGCACAAATGGGTTAGGAGAATGTCTGGCATGTGATAAACATTCAATAAATACTAGCTGCTATTTTCATCATTACTGAAGTTTGTATTTGCAAAATGCTACAGTTTAATCCACTTACGTTTAATGTAATTATTGATATAATTGGTATATTTGATTTCTATTGGTTTCATGTGTTCTTTGATTCCCTCTTTTCTTCCTCCTTTTGGGTCAAACATTTTTTAGTAATCCATTTTGTCTGTTTAGAATTTCTAAATCATACCCTTTGTGTTTATTGATTTTTAACTGCTTACTCTAGAGATGACAATATTCAACTTCAGCTTTTCACAGTCTGCTTTCAAATATTTAACCATTTCATAGACAATGCAGAATCTTACAACATTTTAATTCATTTTCTCTCTGCTCTTTGTGCTTTTTGTTTTGTAATTTACTTTGTACATACTATAAAAATAAAGATACTTTATTTGTTTTGCTTTAAAGTTAATAGCCTCTTAAAAATACATATATGCATATGTAAAAGTGTGCTATGTGTATAAAATTTTAAAAATATTTTAGTAATTCTTATTTAATAATTTAAAATTTTTTTTATGGTTTTCTTCATAGTTACCCTTTTTAGTGCTCTGCATTTCTTAGTATATTTGGGAATTCTTTTGGTATCATTTTCCCTCTGCCTGAAAAACTACCTTAGACATTTCTTTAGGGCAATTTTCTGGCAATGAATTCCACAGTTGTTTATATAAATGAAAATATATTTATTTTGACTTAATTTATAAATATAATTTCATTGATGTGGAATCTAGGTTGATAGTTTTTTTTTTTCAGTGTATGAGAGATATTCCACTATCATCAGGCCTTCCTTGTTTCTGAGAAATCAGTTCTAGGTCTTATTTTTGTTCCTTTGAAGGTGATGTGTCTTCTTTTTCTGATTGCTCTTAAGGTATTTTCTTAATCTTTGATTTCTAGCATTTTAACTGTGAGGTACCAAGGTGTGATTCTCTTTTTTTTTTCACTTGGGGTTGTTCCCTGAAGTTCTTGGATCTGTAGCTTATGTCTTTTATCAATTTGGGAAAATTCTTGGTCATTATAGTCACCCCATTTTCTCGCTCATCTGCTTCTGGGACATAAATTCCATGTGTGATAAACCATTTGCTATTATCTCATATATCTCAGAAGCTTTCTTTTATTCTTTCTTCTTATTCTTTTATCTTTGTGTGTTTCAGTTTGGATGACTTCCATTCTCAAATTATTAAAATTTACCTTTGCATAACCAGTGTGTTATTAAGCCCATCAAATGAATTCTACATTTATGAGATATTTTTCTAACATTTTCATTAACTCTTTTCTTAAATACTTTCTCTCTGCTGAAATTCCTCTCAGTTCAGCATGTTCACTTTTTCCACTGCATCTTTTAACGTTTTTATTACAGTTACTTCAAAGACCTGTCTGATCATCGCAGCGCATCGGCCATCTCTGAGTCTGCTTCTAGTCACCATTTCCTCTTTTGACTATGATTCTCACCTTCTTGCTCCTATTTGTTTATTCTGATGTTTTTATTGAACGCCTAGCTTTGTGTAGAAAGGAAAAACTGTAAAATGACATTTACCCCCAGAAAAAGAGCAGAAAGAAGTCTTGACAAGCTCCAAGTATATGTTAGGAGGGGGTTGTGCAAGGTGTTCAATCTGTGGTTAAGCCAAGTCTGGGTTCAACCAAAGCAGCTTTAGGTGAATGCAATTTATCACATTTTCAAATCTTTTGAAGACAGGATCAGGAGTCCCCTTCAGAGAGGCTTGGGGTCTGAGCGCCTCTCCCTCCCTTGCTGCCCTGCCCTCGCCTTTGGAAGGCCACTGCAGGCCACATAGCGAAGATCTGGAACGCCCAGGACGCCTTGTCTCTTACTCAGCCCTGCCTGCCCTGCGCCTTTGGC